GGTCTTCATATAAGCTTGCTATACACCAATTTTGATTACAATATCTCATTCCTAACTCAAGTTATTGTCCGGAAACCATTTTTCTATTTTAAGTAATGGTGACCTTGACCTTGACCCCAGGGGGTCCAAAAACAATACCAACCCAGGTCTTCATATAAGCTTGCTATACACCAATTTTGATTACAATATCTCATTCCTAACTCAAGTTATTGTCCGGAAACCATTTTTCTATTTTTAGTAACGGTGACCTTGACCTTGACCCAAGGGGGTCCAAATGCAATACCAACCCAGGTCTTCATATAAGCTTGCTATACACCAAGTTTGATAACAATATCTCATTCCTAACTCTAGTTACCGTCCGGAAACCATATTTCTATTTATAGTAATGGTGACCTTGACCTTGACCCCAGGGGGTCCAAATGCAATACCTACCGGAGTTTTCACATAAGGTTGCTATATACCAAGTTTGATTACAATACCTCATTCCAAACTCTAGTTATCGTCCGGAAACCATGATGTGGACCGACCGACGGACGGACCGACCGACCGACCGACAAGCTGACTCCTATATACCCCCCCTAAACTTCGTTTGTGGGGGTATAATAAAAAGGATTTTTTTATAAAGATCAAAGTATATGTCATAACTATTTTAGGGTTATGTACAGATCACTAATTGGCAAAATCTCATCAACATGGAACTTAAAATTGCTATTGCAATATAAACAAACAGCTGTCAGTAAAAGGGCCATATTACCTTAGTAATACAAGTAATAGGGTATGGCTAATTTATCATTTGCGGTCAGTTAACCCACTGTGCTGAAATGTTTATATGATGTTACAACAATTTGCAACTTAACATGTAACTGTAAAACATAGTGTTTATTAGGCTTCTGTGTAATTCTTTTTAACTTTTTTTTTCCTGGCACAGCCACAAAATGATTTATTCTCACTTTTAACCCTGCCACCTAACTGAAAAACTTTGTTGTTTACTTATACTCAAATATTGAATCTATAAATTCATTGAACATTAGATTCCTTGAACATTAGATTTTTTTCATGTGCAAAGATAAAACACCCTATAGGATGATTTTTTTTGATATTAGCAATAATAGTTCATTTTACACACAGCTTTTTTTCCTTCTATAACAGGGGCTGATATAAGGCCCCTTCACAATTCAAAATTGCACATTTTTTTCACAAAGCGGCGGTAAAAAATTCACAATTTTCAAAGAGATTTCACAAAATATTGGGACTTTGTCTTCAAACAAGAGCGATCAGTAATCACATGTGTCGCCTCATGATGGCCAATTTCATGTTGGGACAAAGTTTGTGACAGACGGACAGACAGACGCACAGTGCACAACTAGACTTGGTACTGATGATTCCTGTAAAGTTTGGATAAAATTGCACCAGTAGTTTATGAGGAGTAGTCCGGACAAGCTTTTGCGTATCTGGCAACACACAGAAAAAACACCTTTTTTATCAAAGGGCCATAACTCGGCCAAAAATCATTCAACCGGAAAACCCGTGCAATATGCGCAAGGACTTGAGCTACAGATCAATCCTGTAAAGTTTCATTGAAATTGCTTTAGTGGTATTATTATTAAAGAGAAGTAGTCCGGACAAACTTTAAAAATAAAAATTATTAAAGGGCCATAACTCTGACAAAAATCATTGAACCGGAAAATGCTGATAATATGCACAACTACCCTTGGTACTGATCATTCCTGTAAAGTTTAGATGAAATTGCACCAGTAGTTTATGAGGAGTAGTCCGGACAAGCTTTTGTATATCTGGCAACACAGAGAAAAATACACCTTTTTTATCAAAGGGCCATAACTCGGCCAAAAATCATTCAACCGGAAAACCCTTGCAATATGCGCAAGGACTTGAGCTACAGATCAATCCTGTAAAGTTTCATTGAAATTGCTTTAGTGGTATAAGAGAAGTAGTCCGGACAAACTTTTAAATTAAAAATTATTAAAGGGCCATAACTCTGCCAAAAATCATTGAACCGGAAAATGCTGACAATATGCACAACTAGACTTGGTACTGATCATTCCTGTAAAGTTTGGATGAAATTGCACCTTTAGTTTATGAGGAGTAGTCCGGACAAGTTTTGTGACGGACAGACGGACAGACAGACGGACAGAGAAGTGATCCCTATATGTCGCCACTACGGACACAAAAACATTGTTTACCTTCCGGTAAAACATGATTGACGCCAATTGCAATAATACAGAAATAGTTTTAATCAAGTTAAGCAGATTTTACACAGGTCAGAAAATATAATCAAGCGTTACCGGTTTCAAAATGCCACAGAATGTCATTTTTTTTCACAATTTTATGACATATCACGCTTTTTTCACAAAATGAACAGGCCCCTTCACAATTTTGACAAAAAATGCCCTGTTACATTTATATATGTATAGACATGATTGCTTAGAATCTGTTATAAATGTGGATATGAATAAGGATAAAAAAAATTTTATCACTTATTTAAGGTTCTAAGCACCCTCCCCAATTGTGCTGTGAGTGGGATAAGTGGGGGTTTAGACAGTGGGAATGCAATAGAGAAAGGTAAGAATTCTTTTTGGTATGTCATATTGTAAGGTTAATGTATGTCCCCCACATTTTTTTTCAAATCCCCCACATTTTTCAATTGAGTGGGGGACAATCCCCCATAATTTTGAAATTCTAGATGCAACACTGTACACAGCTGATGTCAATTTTAAAAAACACACTTTTTTTCTCAAATAATGATGCTTGCTGTATTATAAATTCGTTATAAATATTTCTGACATGTTATATGGCCATATACATGGCTACTATGCAAGGGTTATTCTGCATTCAACAGTTTATTTATGGCCATATAACTGGTCTTAAATTTTATAATTAATAATATATATGCATATATGAAAACAGCCCATAATTATGTTAATCTGGTATATAAACTACTTTGCACATTAGGTCATAAATAAAGAAAAGATAATTATATTCGATATGTTTCAAATATTTGTAAACATGACTCAGCTTTGGCATTTATCTGACACAAAGGCTAGTGTGCTAAGCACATCTGTATAGTGAATTAAAAAATGAAAGTAGTTGAATATATTCATTACAAGTATATGTATTTCTTGCACTGACATATACCTTGATTATATTTTTGCAGACATTAATCAAAATGTGTTTGCAGACCTGGCCCATCAGATGAAGGAATGATTTATTTACATAAATTTCATGAATTAAAGTTTATACTAATGTGACTGGAATTTAGCATAGCGTCACATTTTTTTAGAGATGGTGAATCAAAAGCTGCATATATGGAAACATTTAAGCTTCACTTACCTGCAACTATCAAATTAAGATATTCACTTAAATCTGTGATATTAATATACTTGTTCATTGTCATAAAGGAAATTGTGATGTATAAAATAATGTCACTGTTTTAGTATTCTTTATATTCTTTAGGTATGAAAGAAACATTTGATCGAGTATCAAAAACTTAGTTTGTGAAAAAATTAAATCCATCACCTGTTTGCCTTTTAGATGCATATCCTTATTTTATTATGAACAAAAAAAAGCTTTTATTCATTTTAAGGCCACAGAAAATTAATTTTTAGACTCTCATCCTCGCCCGCCCGTATCAAAATCTTTCCGCCCCAAAATAATTTATTTTCTTTAAATTCTGCATTTTTGTAAATTTTTAATTGGATAATCCAGATTAATATCTAGTTTTATATACACAGCTGATGTCAATTTTAAAAAACACACACTTTTTTTCTCAAATAATGATGCTTGCTGTATTATAAATTCGTTATAAATATTTCTGACATGTTATATGGCCATATACATGGCTACTATGCAAGGGTTATTCTGCATTCAACAGTTTATTTATGGCCATATAACTGGTCTTAAATTTTATAATTAATAATATATATGCATATATGAAAACAGCCCATATGTTAATCTGGTATATAAACTACTTTGCACATGAGGTCATAAATAAAGAAAAGATAATTATATTCGATATGTTTCAAATATTTGTAAACATGACTCAGCTTTGGCATTTATCTGACACAAAGGCTAGTGTGTTAAGCACATCTGTATAGTGAATTAAAAAATGAAAGTAGTTGAATATATTCATTACAAGTATATGTATTTCTTACACCGTGTAGTCCGCCTTTTTGATGGCACTCGTAAAATTGTAAACAAGGTGTGAGATAAAGTTAGATAGAAATGGACATTATGTGATTAGATTTAAAGTATTAATCATAAAAGTAATGGCAAACTGTAAAGGAAAAAACTACAAATCAGCAGAATATCGAGATGGGCTTGCAGCTGACGAAAAACAACTATATGAAGCCAAATTATCAATTGTTGGTGGACTTGATCCGTACGAGGGGAAGTTGGCTTGGTCAGATAATGTGAACATAATACCGGTAATTACTTATCCTGATATTGTGAATTACTTACTTTTCACTCCAAGTGCTTAAAGTGCCGATGATCTCAAAGCTTATAAGTCTCTTGATGCTTATCATCAATTTGTATCTGGATGGGTCAGAGAAAAGTCTGGGATAGTTCATGGGCAGTATGTGGTTGTTACAGCAAAAGTCTGTATTTAATTTAGACATAGCATACTTATATATTTTTTATACATATGAAATTCAATAAAAAGGAAAATAAGCAGAGCTGTGCATAGCCAATAATATATTCTTGTATTTATAATCTGTAGCTGGTAATGGCATATATATATGACACTTTATAAATGAAAAGCATACTGAAATGATGTTGTGGACATCATAGTTTTGTCGCATTATCCTGTCATGCGCCATGACATGACGCATTTGACACATGAGGCTTATTTACATATAAATGATGCATTTTATCATGTGTATTCAAATGTAACATTTATAATTTGATATAAATATTTAAATAAAAACAAGAATAAAAAGTATGATTAAATTTCTTGGATTTTGAATGTTTTTACCTTTCTTAAAGTTACATTTAATAAATTTCATAAAAAACTAAATAGCGACATTTCATTAATAAATTGGGTTTTATATCGATTCCAGGTCTTATTTTGGTGTCCAAACAACCAAAATGAGTTTTATTAGCATAAAAATAGGTAACCTCATTGTGGCGAAATGGGAAGTACAATTTCTGTTTGCATGAGAAACTCCGCCTTCGGATCATCCATACATCAATATTAAATCAACAAACATGACTATAAGTGGCAGTCCTAATATAACGGTATATTTCCGCATTGTAACGGATGTTTTCATACAAATTTAATCTTTTTACGAGATGATTACTTTTACTGAACCCCAGGTTTAGTGCACCGTGAAGCTTTAACGGTTAAAATGTGTTTGCACAAGAAAATATCACATTTGCTGTGTTCCGGATAGCAACTATAAAAATGTGACGTAGCGCATACACGAGCTCATTATAGTCTTCATTTGCATGTTAAAATTCGTATACGAACTTTAGTGTTACCTTGGGGTTTCCCGTTTAAAATCCTACTTTATGAACAATATTTGATGAGATTTACAACAAAACTTTTAAACAGGTTAATGAAACTGTAGAATGTTTGATTTTTAGGCCGGCGGAAAAATATTTTTACTTTTTTATTTAATGTAACTTTAAAAGTTTAGTGCATTTCCTCATAATTGGTTTCTTGAAAAGTTTTGGCTCATCTGGAGGAGTGCAGCTTTAAAATATGTTCTGTTTTCTTTTTAAAAGAATGGATCCAACTCAGACGAGGTATGCTGTACTGAAGTGGGTATCAGACAACAATAAATTAAGCATAGAACATTTAAAAGTCATTCAAGACCCTGAAAAGCCATATAGATTTGGCCCTTTAAAAAAACTATTTCCAGTAGTAATAGTTGCTGTTGGTGGTAAGTGGACTTACAGTTAACTATCTTGTTAGATAATTAAATAGATTTTGGTTAATGAAAAATGGTGAAACTTGAACCTTCCCAGGGCACCCTAAGTGTGCGGAAAAATGAAAAGTCCATAATTTGAAAGCAAAAGCAATATCTCTCTTGTTAAATTTGGATTCTGCACTGATAAATTCAGGAAGGTATTTGACGAGTGATATCATGAGCACATGCTAAATCACTGAGAGCAAAATAATGCCAGCCATTGTTAAAATTTTGTAGAGCGTGAAAAGATTGTAATTGACAAATTTAAAATAAATGTTCCTTTTTATTTTATCTTAAGTTAAGTATGAGTAGATCACTCGTACCAATTATGAACAGAGTATAGTACCTACTGAACGTCCAGGAAGTGGTGGCACTACTTGTTCTGGTTTCTGTTTGACTTGTGTGTCACAAATGGATTTATCCTAATGAAAAAATCGGCAAACCACCAAAGGTACACGAAGAAAGGGAACGCAAAAAAAGTGACCATGTTGGACTTCAGAATGGCATTAGCCAAACAACTCATTGGAGATTTCGTAGAGAACAAAAGGGCTGCATTGGCAACAGTCAGTAACGGACACTTTCCACAGAAAGGGGACAAAAAGGGCAGGTGTAGACAATGCAGTAAGAACAAAATAAGGAAAGAACCAGTGAATATGTGTGCCAAGTGTAATGTGCATTTGTGTCTGGACTGCTTTCAGCCTTGGCACAGGGATTTACTCAAACGCAGGAATAATGCTGTGTAATCAACCGTAATGTGAACATAGCAAAATATGTGTGTGACTGATTCTATGACACGTTTTACCGGATACGTTTAAAAGCAACTGTGTATGGATTTTTTTATTTTAAGAATTATAGTGTTTAATAAAACATGTAACATTATGGAGATAGTGGCAGCCTCCATGGAAGACAGTCAGGCGGAAGGTAAAATAACTTTCAATTTTGTCCAAAGCTTTAAATTAGCGATGTCATCCGGAGTCCAGATATCCGAACGTTCGAATCACGATTCGGTATCGGAATTCAGTTTTCAGATCCAGATATTCGTATAAAATATTTCAGTTAGAACAATGAACTAAAAACATGTCATAATTATTAACAGTCGTATACTTGCGTTGAGATAACCTAAGATATGACAATACACAAAGTATACTCTGCGGACCATAAAAAATCAATAATTACGTGAAGAAAATATATAACGCAGGTGCACTGTCTTTGAAATATTATAATTGTTTCAATTATTATTACCGATTGCGGCAAACATTTACTTACTCAATATCTACATTTGTCCCCACAATAAAAAAATGTTTTCGCACCTCTAAGGTATTTTAAAAGTTTGTCTTTAGATAGATATTGAATGGAAGATAATTGTACGAAAATTGGTGCACTTGCAAACGTTTTATTCTCTTCTATGAAGTCTTTGATTATTTATCTATGCCGCTTTAATTATTCGGCCAATATTTGTAAAACAAATTTATAAAAGTAATTTTTATTGGCTTTCATAAAGCAACGCCTTTTCAATTAAAGGTTACTAATTATGCAAGAAAGAAAATGATTCGTTAGTTTTAATTTTGAGTGCATTATTAGGCTAAATAAAACTCAGGATTTATCCTTGTACGCCCTCTGATAATAATTCACGTTGAACGTTATTTCTTTAATGTAAAATCATGCCTGCAACTATACAATCCGACGTGTGGAAACACTTCTCACGTTCCATTGACAAGAAAACCGCAACATGCAAGTTATGTGAGGTATGCAGGCGGTCAATAAAACTGTTAAATGTTTATCGTTACTCGCAGATTTCTAACTTGAAATTATTTTCAGAACTTTTAAATTAAGTTTTAATAATATAGATTATTACAAATAAATTTCTTGAGAATTATTTGGAAACAAAGCAGATAATCGAAATAAAACATATACACCGATAAATTGTCGTTATAAACTAGGCCTATTATAAACATAGACAAGAAATTTACATGATGTTTATTTTATTTACAGGTTAAGTTGGCGAACTCTGGTGGTACCTCTAACCTACGTAGCCATTTACGCAGCTGACATTCATCAGCAGAAAGTAGCAGCCCAGCACGTTCACAAGGGTTAATATCGAGCTTTGTCAGTAATCCAAAAAAGATGACTCAAAGTGAAAATGAAACAAGAGGGCCATGATGGCCCTAGATCGCTCACCTGAATTATCAAACTCATCCAAACAATTACCTAGACAAGCATTCTGACCAAGTCTCATGACAGGTGAGTCAAAAATGTGACCACTACAGTGTTAACAAGGATTATCCATATTTGAGCAGTGCGACCTAGTTTTTTACCCAGGTGACACATATTCAAACTTGACCTAGAAATCATCAAAACAAACTTTCAGACCAATTTCCAGGATACTTGGATCAAAACAGTAGCAACTAGAGTGTTAACAAGATTTTTCTATTTTTAGCTCCGGTGACCTAGTTTCACATGCGATTTCGAACTCATCCAAGCAATTACCTAGACAAGCATCCTGACCAAGTTTTGATGATAATTGAGTCGAAAATGTGACCACTAGAATGTTAACAAGGTTTTTCCATATTTGGGCGTTGTGACCTAGTTTTTCATCCAAGATGACCCATGTTCGATCTTGACTTAGAAATCATCAAAACAAACTTTCAGACTAATTAACAGAATATTTGGATCACAACAGTAGCCACTAGAGTGTCAACAAGATTTTTCTATTTTTAGCTCCTGTGACCTAGTTTTTCATCCGAAATGACCCATGTTCGATTTATTCCCAGCAATGACCTAGACAAGTTTCCTGACCAAGTTTGATGACAATTGAGTCAAAATTGTGACCACTAGAGTGTTAACAAGGTTTTTCTATTTTTAGCTCCTGTGACCTAGTTTTTCATCCGAGATGACCCATGTTCGAACTCATCCGAGCTATCACCTAGACAAGCATCTTGACCAAGTTTGATGATGATTGATGCAAAAATGTGACCGCTAGAGTGTTAACAAGGTTTTTCTATTTTTAGCTCCGGTGACCTACTTTTTCATCCGAGATGACCCATGTTCAAACTCATCCAAGCTATCAACTAGATAAGCATCCTGACCAAGTTTGATGATGATTGATGCAAAAATGTGACCGCTAGAGTGTTAACAAGGTTTTTCTATTTATAGCTCCGGTGACCTAGTTTTTCATCCGAGATGACCCATATTCAAACTCATCCGAGCTATTATCTAAACAAGCATCCTGACAAAGTTTGATGATGATTGGGTCAAAAATATGACCACTAAAGTGTTCACAAGGTTTTTCTATTTTTAGCTCCTGTGACCTAGTTTTTCATCAGAGATGACCCATGTTCGAACTTATTCAAGCAATTGACTAGACAAGCATTCTGACCAAGTTTGATGATGATTGGTTCAAAAATGTGACCACTAGAGTGTTCACAAGGTTTTTCTATTTATAGCTCCTGTGACCTACTTTTTCATCCGAGATGACCCATGTTCGAACTCATCCAAGCTATCACCTAGACAAACATCCTGACCAAGTTTGATGATGATTGGGTCAAAAATGTGACCTCTAGAGTGTTCACAAGGTTTTTCTATTTTTAGCTCTTGTGACCTAGTTTTTCATCCGAGATGACCCATGTTCGAACTCATCCGAGCTTTCAACTAGATAAGCATCCTGACCAAGTTTGATGATGATTGAGGCAAAAATGCGACCGCTAGAGTGTTCACAAGTAATTGTGGACGGCCGGACGGACGACGGACGACGGACGACGGACGACGGACATTCACCGATCCTAAAAGCTCACCCTGAGCAAGCTCAGGTGAGCTAAAAATAACTGAAAAAATTGCTAACATGGTTGTGAAGGATTATGCTCCGCTTAATATTGTGAGTGGTGAAGGATTTAATGAACTTTTGAACACAATAGTGCCGGCGTATACTCTACCCTGCAGGAATACTATTCGTGCGCGTATTATTTCACGTTACCAGAATGAGAAGGACTTACTTAAATGTGATTTGTCATCTGCTACCTGTGTCTCCTTGACAACAGATACTTGGACTAGTAATAGCACCGAGAGTTATATTACTGTGACAGAACACCATATTGACAGTAACTGGACTATGAAAAGTAGCGTTCTCTTGACGCGTGATATGCCCGAAAAACACACTGGAGAAAATATCGCCGAAAGACTGTCTGAGTGTGTTTCTGAGTTTGGTTTAGAAGGGAAGGTTGAGTGCTGTGTCCATGATAACGCCGCTAACATGAACTGTGCAGGACGTATGTGTCCGTGGAGTGATTTAGGATGTTTTGGACACACCCTTCAGTTGTGTATTAAACCTGGTCTAGAACAACAGAGTGTATCAAAAATGGTTGCTAAGGCGCGTAAGTTGGTTGGACATTTCAAACATTCCACTACCTTGACGGCAGAACTTGAAAAACGCCAGGAATTACTGAATGTTCCTCAACACAGATTAATATCTGATGTAAGCACCAGATGGAATTCTACATATTTAATGTTAGAGCGATTGTGTGAGCAACGTCGCGCAATTAATGACGTCATGTTAGATACACGGGTTACGTCAAAAGACAACGCAACTCTCAATCTTGACAACAACGAGTGGGATTTAGCTGGTGAACTGTGTGTTGTTCTTAAGGATTTTACTGATACAACTACGTTCATGTCTACAGAATCACATGTCTCCTGTTCTGAGATATACCGAATAGTGTTCGGTTTACTTAATGGATGTTTGAAAAGAAAAAGTGCCGATCACAGTGTTATTGTAAAAGTTAAAAGTGCTATCCGCTCTGAAATCAATACGCGTTTCTGTAGAGTCTGCCAAATCTTTACCCATGTTAGCGTCCCTATTAGACCCCCAATACAAATGATTACCATTCCTCACTGACGAACAATGCAAGGCTACGCACGAGAAGTTAGATGAACGCATCGACGAAATCCCATTACATTCCCCGCACATGTAGACATTCAACTCCCAAACGTCGTAAACTAAACTTCTGCAAATTTGAAAACGACGACAAAGAATGTGACGAATTAGCAAGTTATCTTGCTGACAAACCTTCCCAAGACTGTGATCCTTTAGATTGGTGGAAAAATAATGAAAAGAAGTATCCAAAAATCGCAAATATTGCAAGGCGCGTGCTTGCATTTCCAGCAACTTCCGTTCCGTCGGAACGTATTTTCTCTGCCCCTGGTCTGTTGTTAAACAAACTAAGAAACAGATTGTCAAGTGACATTGTTGATAACTTGATAGTATCATTTTTTTAAATAAAAACAAAATTCCCTGCTCCAACATTGCCGAAAATAACCCAGAGAATGTTATTGAGATGTGAATTGTGAATTGATTGTGTCAAATGCGGAGACTGTCAGAATGTAAAAGACTTGATCACTGAAAAAATGTCACGTGTTTATAAACTGCATAATAAATATAAAGTACAAAGTTCATTTGAAATGTAAGAGATTTTCATTGATTGTTTGATAGGTTGATTTTCGCAACCTGCTTGAAAATGTGTCATGTATATGTATGAAAATATTTATACTGTTTTATATATGTGTTGATATATGATAAACTGGAAAAGAATTGAAATAAATTTGAAATAGATTTGTGATCTTTTATTGTTATAAATAAAACTTGCTTTTAAATACATGTCAATAAAATATTAACAATTTACATTGTGTTATTATGAGAAGGTGAACTTCTCTGGCGTGATAGCCAATTGTGAATATTGGAGGAGTTGTCGTTCTTTTATAGAGAATAGTTCGGCGATCGATATTACTTATAAAATAATTATTATGTCCACATTTTAATATTAACAAAACACTTTGAAACAATTACATTCTTTAAACAAGAACCGGTTGAACCGGGTGATGCTCCCCCAGAAGGTTCTGGACACAGGAAAGTATAAAAAAAATGAACAAAGGGCAAAAACTCCAAAATTAGGCAAAGCGGAGTTATGTTTTTTTGCACTGCACTTCTATTCAATGAGATCTATCTATCTATAAAGTTTCCTGATGATATCAGAGTTATGTCCCGGGTAAAAGTCAAAGTGTAAAAATGAACAAAGGGCAATAACTCCAAAATTAGACCAGGCTTTGTTCAGGTTCTTTAAGCATTGCAATTCTATCCAATTATATCTAGCTACCTACAAAGTTTCATGTTGATATCTCTAACAGTTTTAAAGTATTGTCCAGGACAAAAGTCAAAAAGTAAAAATAAACAAAGGGCAATTACTTCAAAATAAGGCAAGGCAAAGTAATGATTCTTAAGCACTGCACTTCCACCCAATGAGACCTATCTATCTACAAAGTTTCATGTTGATATCTCTTATAATTTTAGAGTAATGTCCCAGACAAAGTCAAAGTGTCAAAATGAACAAAGAGCAATAACTCCAAAAGTAGGCAAGGCAGAGTTACGGTTCTTGTGCACTGCACACCTACTCAATGAGATCTATCTACCTACAAAGTTTCATGTTGATACCTCTTATACTTTTAGAGTTATGTCCCGGACAAAGTTCAAAGTGTAAAATAAACAAAGGATATAACTCCAAAAGTAGGCAAGGCAGAGTTACGGTTCTTGTGCACTGCACACCTACTCAATGAGATCTATCTATCTACAAAGTTTCATGTTGATACCTCTTATACTTTTAGAGTTATGTCCCGGACAAATTTCAAAGTGTAAAATAAACAAAGGGGGGTAATTCAAAAATTAGGCAAGGCAGAGTTACGGTACTTGTGCACTGCACACCTACTCAATGAGATCTATCTTACTACAAAGTTTCATGTTGATACCTCTTATACTTTTAGAGTTATGTCCCGGACAAATTTCAAAGTGTAAAATAAACAAAGGGAGATAATTCAAAAATTAAGCAAGGCAGAGTTACGGTTCTTGTGCACTGCACACCTACTCAATGAGACCTATCTACCTACAAAGTTTCATGTTGATACCTCTTATACTTTTAGAGTTATGTCCCGGACAAAGTTCCAAGTGTAAAATAAACAAAGAAGGATAATTCAAAAATTAGGCAAGGCAGAGTTACGGTTCTTGTGCACTGCACACCTACTTAATGAGATCTATCTACCTACAAAGTTTCATGTTGATACGTCTTATAGTTTTAGAGTTATGTCCCGGATAAAGTTCAAAGTGTAAAAATAAACAAAGGGGATTAATTCAAAAATTAGACAAGGCAGAGTTACGGTTCTTGTGCACTGCACACCTACTCAATGAGATCTATCTACCTACAAAGTGTCATGTTGATATCTCTTATACTTTTAGAGTTATCTCCCGGACAAAGTTCAAAGTGTAAAAATAAACAAAGGGGAATAATTCAAAAATTAGGCAAGGCAGAGTTACGGTTCTTGTGCACTGCACACCTACTCAATGACATCTATCTACCTACAAAGTTTCATGTTGATACCTCTTGTTGTTTCAAAGTTATGTCCCGGACAAGAAAAGCGGACGGACGGACGGACGGACGGACGGACGGACGGACGGACGGATGGACGGACGGACGGACAAGGCGGCGACTATATGCTCCCCCGAAATTTTTTCGGGGAGCATAAAAAGATGAAGGCTTAGGAACAATAACGATATTGATAAGAAACAATCGATTTAAGAGTAGAAAAACAGCGCACCATCATATTAAAAAGGTCGCGAAAATTGGTTACGTCATATCAACTGACTCGGGCTGAAATAATGATCCGAACATCCGGATGTATTCGGATGTCTGATCCGAATATCCGGATAGTGAATTCGGCTCCGGATGACATCCCTACTTAAAATACTAGTAACATTGTGCTTGGTACAACAGTCTTGCCATTTTCTTGCTAAATTGAATAAATTTATAACCTGCTTTAAAGGGCACGATGTTTTTGAAAGAAATAGATAACTCGATTTTATCTTAATTAAAAAAAGGTATGCAAATAGATAAATAGTTCATTATTTTTCATTCAGGAAGAATTTCACCAGCATCTTCACAGGAGTCACAAGCAGACTGTGATTTGGATGATGTGAAAGACCAAGGTATCAAAAATTGCTGTATTTTTTCTCTTTCATTTCTTCTCCTATAATGTATATAATCTATTGGCTCATAACTTTGGGACCTAAACACTTCTGCTTCAAATCCCTTGTCAGCATCACTTATGGTTACAGCCTAATTATGGGCTGTAAGTGTTAAAGGGAAAGACAAGGTTAGAATAAAAACTTGATTTCAGAAAAAGAATACTATAAATAATAAGTCTGCAAATTTTCTGCCGCCAAATAATAATATTAAACGAATGATAACAAAATTTAAATCGCTAAATCACCGATTTCTACAAATCAGTAAGCGCGGCCATGTTTGTGTATTGGCCGTATAAAAACAGGTGCGCGTGATGTCATTTCCCCACATCTTTAGATTCATGATAAATCTAGTTGAATCGTAAGGAAATATTAATATAATAAAGTATTGACCAGACAATTTAATTTTCACAGGAGGTGTAGAGGAGATTTTTTATGGTTCAAAATACGTAACAATATCCAAAAAAAATAAATAATAATAAATAAAGAAACGTACGGCTAGCCAAAAGTTCTAGCCGTACGTGAGTCACGAACGACTAGCCAGGACGCACTGTACGTATTATCTAGCCGTACGGCACTTTTCAAAATTATATGGAAGTCAAACGTTATAAAATTGTTGATTTTCATGCTTATCATTTGTTGTTTTATTTGTATGAATTATTAAATCATTTTTGTTAATTTTAAGTACATGGGTCGAATAAAAAATGATCGGAGTGGAATAAATAAATAAAAAGAACATTGAATGAAAAAAAAAAAAACGGTGAAATGCAAAAATAATTATATAATTTTCAAAACAGTAGATAAATATCGAACATAAAAGCACAGTCAATTAATTAATTAGCCTTAATTAAAACCTATCCAGGGACTGACAATAGAATTTTAGTATGCCTTTCACGGAACATGCAAACTTTCCTTGATGGACAAACTTCTATACAGTACCGTCGGTAATTGTCGCAATTATCAAGAGCCTAACAACAATCATTTTCAGTGTTTGTTCCTTTTTTTCATATAAAAGGTGTCGAAAAATTAAACTTAATGAAACAAAAAAGGATTATTATCAAAATTTTGTAAACTATTTCAAGTTTCAAGTTTTATTAAATATATCTCAGTATGTAATAAACATAGACATGAGAACAAATTCTAATAATACACGTATCAATTGGTGTAAATGCAAGCAAAGTCGACATCTTGCGATGACAAAGATCGATATATATAGCGATCAAGGCGATTAATCTCTAAAAAGTTAACATCCAAAGACAATTAATGCTGTTTCTTGGTTAAAATCCTCGCTTTATCATAAAATAACATATGCATTTTCGACTTCCATAAAATTTTGAAAAGTGCCGTAAGGCTAGCCAATACAGCGTGTCCTTGCTAGTCGTACGTGACTCACGTACGGCTAAAACTTTTGGCTAGCCGTACGGGCCCGTACGCTAGCCACTTCCACTAAAACGTGTTCTTAATAGTACATATAACTAAATTTTTGCAGTTTGATTCTGACTTTCAAATTTAAAGGTGTGAACATATGTTATAATTGATGTACACATTTCAAAAATATAAGCAACTCTTTTGAAAAGTAAATTGTTAACATGTCTGTCAACGTATGATGCTGCGCATCGTAATCATAGCCTAATATTAACTGCAGGCAAATCATTTTTATTGGCTGCTCAAAAATCTAATTTGCATAATTTATTCACACAATTGCTGGTTCTTACTACTTATGTCTAATACTGCGCATTGTCCATTTTAATTGTTCCTAATTTGCACCAAATGCTCCTGTCACACTGTGTACTGAGTGCCGACAGACATTTTGATCATGCACAATGTTGCCCTGATTGGACAATCACCCTTGTCAAATATTCTTATGACGAAATAGACATCTATTTTTTTACGCTTCATCAGTGAACTGAATGACCTTGGGGGGGATTAGGTTCCACACCTGTCAAATTATACTGTAGTAAATTACAGCACGTCATAAAATAGAAACACATTTTTTCAGTTACCAATAATCATTTTAAATATTAAGTAGATTTATGATTTTTTGTTTTATTGGATTAAATTTACGGTAGTAGTAATGCGTATCTGTCGGGAAAGGAATTTGGTAAGTAGATAACGTGGAAAAAAGCTTTAGGGAGCTGGATAAACCCGAGAATATGCGTAATTATAGGGGAATGGGCAACCTGTTGCTGTAGGTACCAGTTTTGACTGGGTGCCTAAATAACCTAACGGACAGTTTTGTTTTCATACGATATTAGTCTGGCTGCCGATTTTCCTGCGCCTTTTATCATTTTTAGCGTCAATGGCGGAAAATCGCGTCCTTGGATTTAGTTGATATTTTACCTGAAAAAAAAAAGATACATGACCGGCGATGTACCCTATTTGGACAGCTTGTACAAAATAAAAGGATATATCGTCAATTTAAAGAAGTTTCTCATAGTACCCAAATTAAATTTATGGTTTATCTTTGAAAATTAAGCAGTCATTGCTTAAATCATGTGGTGGATCATCAGCAAGCTTGAATATCGGACAAATGATAATTTATGTCGCGGCGTCTTCAATAAAATAATTAAATTAATTAATTAAAAGCAATTCAGTTCCATATGATGTTTTCATAAATAATATATAATGTACGCAATTAAATTAATAAGTTCTTCATCAAGATATATTTCAGTTGTACCAGCGTGTACACCTATACCGGAAGTGGGTATAACACGTCACAATCTCGGTCTCGTCTGTCTCGCGAGAATGACAGAACGCCAAAATGGCGGCGCCCATGAACTTATTTCTCAAGTAAAAAATAGTGTCTTAAAACACGAATTTCTCTCTTATAGGGTTGATGTCAATAGGAAAACTGTCATGGTTCCTCTTTTTAAATGATGAATATTTATATTAGACAGACATCAATCCATCCATTCCTATTCCTTTAAACATAAGAAAGTAATCAAGTGATTCTATATCTGTTAGAGGGGTATGTAGTTCTTTCGCAATAGTAACACCTTGAAAGTGTTGTATGTCGGCCATACTTTTTTGTCCATTATATTAATATTATGTGTGAATTGTATATAATGTTTAAAAATTGTGGTATTTAAAATATCTTAACATAATTGTTCTCAATTTTCTATTTATTAAAGGTCGGGTAATCTGGACACATGAAGCAATCCTTCTGTTAATTGACAAGGAGGCGTGAAAACTAAGGTCCATTTATTTGAACAATAAATGCCCATTACCCAAAGTCAAGCCTGGAGGAAAAAGTGGCAGGGGAAAATTAAAAGTAAAAGGGGCAAACAAAAAAACAGGAGGACGACTTTTAGAAAAAAAATTTCTTTAGTTTAAGAGCAAGGTAATATTTTTTTTGCCCCATTTGTTTTGCAAACCCCCAAAGCTCAAAATTGGGGCTATATAAAAAGAATGACCTTTTTTTTGGTATTTTGCAAATTTTTCAATCCTTTAAAAATTAAAAAAAGGGGTTTTTTTTAAAAAAGAAAAAAAGGGGGGGGTTTTTTTTAAAAATTTTTTTTTTTTCCCAATTCGATTTTGGGGTATGAATATAGATTTTTCCCATGAATGACGGTTTTTCACAATTTAAAAATATGTTTAATTTTCAAAACCACAAGAAAAATGAATCCTCCCTTTTTAAATTTTGGGAAAAATTTTTGAATTTTTGTTTATTATATACATTTTTCTCTTTTTTGTCAAGTGACTATTTTCCATTTTTAGAAATAACCTTTTAATAACTTTTTCGTAGGTGGACAAGGCACTGATAATGAAAAATTTCATCAAAATTTAAAAAGAAGAAGATGGGAAGTCTGTTGTAGTTACGAAAGTCTCAAAAATTGCCGACTGGAATTACAGAAGAACAAAGAGCACTTGGACAATCACTGATTAACCCTCCCAAAGCCCAGCTTGTTTCTGTTGCTGAAGCCTTGTCTTCCCCGAAAAAAAAGAAGTCGTCTGTTCAAGGAAAACTTATTCAGGTATATACGTTTCACATATATTTCTGCTGCAATAGTTTTATCTGATTTTTTTGTTAATATCTTTATTCCTTAAATAGTTTTCAAATAATCAGATTAATTTTGTTAAAATAAATGTTCTGTTTACCAAGTTTCCCATTTCCTTTTTACACTGACCTTTCGTGATAAATCTGTATTGCTTGTTAAGTTCATAAAATTAACTTTTAAATGAAACTGAATTACATTCCTTTTTGTGTTGCCTTGAGAAAAGTGACATAAAAGGGTTACTTTGGTTGCAATCAGCATCATTGTTGGCGACAGTGAGGGTATCCCCTTAGGCTTGTCCAGGCAGACCATAACTCAAGTCACTATATGTTGGATTGGCTCAACCTTTATATGCATGCTTCTTTCAATGCCCATCAGTTCAAATGCCACTTAAGTTAAAAGTATATGTACATTGTAAGAGAAACTTAAGTTAAAAGTATATGTACATTGTAAGAGAAATGTTTATAAATAACATATATTTCAACTGTCTTATTTTCTGTTTGGAAAAGTGTTGTTTTCTAATATAAGTTATCTATAGGAATACTGATATGTTACTTGTCTTCAAGAAATTTTATAGACATGTAAAATTTTTTGTAAATACAGCTTCAAGTTCACACAATTTTTTTATTCTAGTAATTTCTATTTTTTTTTCAGGAAGAAGCATCAAAGATGGTAAAAGTTGGTGGTGAAGATGTTAAAATTAAGAATGTTGTTATAGAAGATGAGAGTGGCCATGCTAAGTACACATATAAGGAAAATCAATGTCCCCCAGGGCAGGCCAATTTTGACCCCAGGGCTTTTATTTAAACAAACTTTGAAGACACTAACTGGAAGATGTTTCATGCTAAATATCTAAACTCTAGCTATTTGGGTTTTTTCAAAGAAGATTTTTTCAATTTTTTGCTATACACATAAATAAAATCAATGACCCCCGGGGCAGGGCCAATTTTGAACCCAGGGCTTTTATTTGAACAAATTTGTTGGACACCTATTAGAACATATTTCATGCTAAATATCTTAGCTCTAGCTATTTGGGTTCTTTAAAAGAAGATTTTATAAGTTTTTACTATATGAATATAGGAAAAATAAATGACCCCCTGGGGCAGGGCCAATTTTGACCCCAGGGCTTTTATTTGAACAAACTTGGTAGACACCCATTAGAGGATGTTTCATGCTAAATATCTTAGCTCTAGCTCTTTGGGTTCTTTAAAAGAAGATATTTGAAGTTTTTACTATATGCATATAGGGAAAAACAATGACCCCCGGGGCGGGGCCAATTTTGACCCCAGGGCTTATATTTGAACAAACTTGATAGACACTCACTAGAAGATGTTCCATGCCAAATATCTAAGCTCTACCTCTTTGGGTTTTTTAAAAGAAGATATTTTAAGTTTTTTCTATCGGTTGCCATGGCAACAAGAGTTCTGCATTGAATTTAATTCTTTGAACAATTTTTAAAGGTGACCACCAAAGGAACATTCCTGTGAAGTTTGGATGAAATTGGCTCAGCGGTTTATGAGGAGATGTCATTTAAAGTAAAAGTTTACGGACGACGGACGGACGAATGGATGCCGGATGAAAAGCGATCACAAAAGCTCACCCTAGCTGTCACTTTGTGACAGGTGAGCTAAAAATTTATGTCTGTAGGCAGAATCAATCGATGATAAAATAATGAAATGTAATAAAGTGAATTAGGTCTAAACTTTGGATGAATTTTGACATTAAAAAGATTAACAACTGAAATGTTTCCCCCTTCCCCTTTGATTTTATTTTTGAAGGAATTAAGAAAGAATTGTTTACTCAAAACAATTATAATGCAATGAGAGGCGAAGAAGGATGTAGAATCCTTGTTGAAGAATGGAATGATGCCATGAATGACGTCTGGACTCTATCACATAGTGTAGAAAATATTGAAGACCCAGCAGAAAAGTTTCTTGTTGGACAATATAAGTTGGCATATATGGCAGGAAAGGGGAAAAAATGTGTCCCAGTGCTACTACCACTTGATCTTCTGAAAGCTGTCAACATTCTGCTGGCCAACAGGGCAAATGTCAACATATCCCCGGCTAATCCATTTTTATTTGCTACCAAGAGCTCTAAATATGCTTGTTCAGGTTGGCATGCATTATCTGATGTTTGCATGGCTGCTGGAGTATCAATTAACAGACACAGAGTCTCTTCTTACATAATTAAATTAAAATAACTCAAAATGATAGTACAGTCGAGACTGCCTTAGCGACCCCCTGATTTCAACGACTCCCTGTCTTATCCGACCTTGTTTCAGTCCTCCCAACGTATTTTTCTATATAAATGGTCTGAATTATACGACTCCCTGTCATATGTGACAAGCGACCCTAATTGTCTGGTCCCAATGCATTGCTTTGTCTGATTTAAACGACTTTCACACCTTTTAATTGTCCGCTAATCAGATAAATAATACCTGTTTTAACACCTAGAGAGACAAAATAATTAAGTCCAATTATAATCCAGTAGTCAGTACTCTTCAAACAAACTCTACACACCTCTGATTACGTGTATATATGCAGGTGTCAAGTGACGTAGCGTCTGAAGTGTCCATGGCGTCCGTAGCGTCTGATGCAATCGATGTGTGTTAACAAATTGAGGTCACAGGTGTAATGAACATAATGAACTGAGTAAACTGTATTAAGACTTGTGTTTAAAAAATTATGGAGTGTCAACGAAAGATGTTTTAAGGCAGAATTATTTTTTTTATTTTGCCTTTCTATGGCTGCATGGATAATACGGAAAAATGTTGATACCAGACTAATATGGATATGTTTTTAAAAGTATGATATTTATTTTAAGGATTTGAATGCATCAATTTTAAGTTTATTTTGTACCATAATGATTCAATATTAAAATAATACAAAACATAAAATTAATTTTTATATGATATACATACTATTATATTTGCTTTACAGGGATTCTTATTTTATTTACAGTACCTATGTGTATTTGCAATTGGTTAAGATATTATTCCTTCAAACAGTTATACAGTATATATGTTAAGTCACAATGATATATAGACAGATAGATGGTATTTAAATTTTAACTTTCTATGAGACTGTATTAAGAGACTCCCTGTCATATGTGACCTTTTTCTCAAGATCCCTTGGAAAGTCACATATGACAGTCTAGACTGTATATATTTTCTTTTATAAGTGTTCAAAAAATGTATGCATGCATAGTCTTTAGGGCTCTGCATCGCAATTTTTTTCTGTCACAATACATATCACGATAATTTTTCAAAATGATGTGATTCGCAATATCTATTGCAAAATTAAAACATTTTCGATTCATAATGCACTTACTTAAGTGGCGATGCAACAGACTTAAAATTGATAGGTATTTCCGTTAAAACTTTTTTCAACTGTTTAAAAAATTTATTTAAAAACATTCCAAACAACTCTTAACTATTTATAATTTGATCTTTCAACACTATCATACAACTTACTTAGGATAATCTCTTTTAGTACCTGTGTAACTAAACTGAAGTAACTGAAATAGCCCAGACTATGCATGCATACATTTGAACACTAAGTCTTATAAAAGAAAAAATATACTATCATTTTGAGTTATTTTAATTTAATTATGTAAGAAATAAAGAAGAATTTAATGATGAGACCATGGCAATATCTCAGTTATCCAAAATTCTCAAGTTATTGTTTATTTTGAGCATTTGCACTATACGCTTTCCAGTTATCTTTGTGGTGTGACTGAATATTTTTAGACATTTCACCAAATATAAAATTCAGGAAATAGGCCATGTCAAACTGTGTTAAAGATCTTGCTTAATTTACAAATTGCATCTTTGTTGCCTATCTGAGAAGCATTACTATAATGATTTTAATTTATGCATTGCAGACAGGACAAATGAAGATGGACAAGGAACTTTTCTGACTGATCATTTTCATAAAAGGTATTTAAATTTGTTTAACTTTGTTTAATTGTTTTTACCTAAGTATTTATTGTATATTAAGTTACAAAGGAAGGTAACTACTTTAATTTTCGAGATGGGACCATCTTCTACTTATAAATTAGAAATCAAAAACAGGATAATGATAAAGGAAATGACTGCCAGCATGTCTATCTTTAATCATAAATAATATTTTACAATTTTCATTTTCCATGTTACATTGAAAAAAATCTTGATAATATAAAATGTCATGATGTGAAATGTGAAATATCAAATTACTTTTTTTCTTGTGTATAATTTGGACTTATCGTTTCTCCAGATTTTTGCATCATATCAGTATCTTGCCTAGACGCTGACATATTGGATTTGTAATTTTTACGCATCATGGTAATGAGTAAATTGAGACTACCACCGTAAAAACGATGCAGGAGTTACCCCCCTATGTCGGAAGTAATTACAGCCATGTTAATTTTTGGCATTATGGATTACTCATGGGCATAATTGTACGGCCAGTTTTCAAAATTTGGCAGTAATCGTGCTATTTTCTTGCATTAATTATGGCCTTATGGCCATTATCAACACTTCTGGGCAACATTTTCAATCTTGCTGTTTTGGGCTTTCTTAAATGGTTCTCTATATATTTGATTATATATATATATTAACTAATAACTATAACATAGTAAAATACTTTCTATGTTTGTACAAGGGAGAAAACACTGGAAAGACGAGTTTGCGTATCTTGAAAGAGAAGTGAAGGAACTTAAGAAAAAAATGAATGAGGCCGAATCTAGAAACAAAGAAACAAGGGAAATCGAGGTTTCCCCAAGTCAAGTTCTGTTTTGGGTACAACTGAACTATGTTTGACAGAGTTACTTCTCAAATGTTCAGCATGAGACTTTTTGCCATGTAAATGAACTCCGTCACCAGGTTAGAGGTCAAGATTTTGCATTTGGTATAAAGATGTGTTTTGCACATCTAACCTATTTATGCATCTTTCTCCTTGATCTGAAGCTTATAGGTTCAAATTTGAATTAATACAAGCTGTATGACATTATGGCTCATTTACATCATTATATTAACTAAATCTGCATAGCTTGTACAGAAAAAAGTATATTAAAAGTAGTTACAGTCGTATTGCTGCTCTATTGAATAAGCAGTGGTGATTGGATAAAGAATTATTAAAAAAGAAAGGAACGTCTTTTGTTTATTACATGGGTGTTTGACCATATACGTTAACAATTATGCCACACTTTTTCCAGAAAGATTTGACTGAATAGAAATATTTGATATAAAAGCATTGTTTGGTTCATTGTTTGTGCTTAGGGGAGTATGGTAAAGTTTCAGTTTTATAACCTTGATTTCCTTTAAGTATTTGACAACATTGAATGTGTTTTCAAAAGTAGAAATTCAGTCAACTTCAAATGAAAAGAAGCTTTCCAGACCAGCAAATTATCCAGCTAAAAGTGCAAGCCCAATAAATTCAAACTTTAAACAATATCATCAAAAGCCTACTGAAACACAGAGTCAAACTGTGAATTACAAAGTACAAAGAAATGAAACTTCTGTAAAATCTCTAAACGAGGAAACCCATGTCAAATCTATCATCAGTGTGAGTGAAGATGATAGCTATGAAATTAACAGTGATACAACAAGTCTGTCACATTCATGTATCAGCAGCAGTCCTAAATCAGTAATATCTCGTTCTTCAACTACAGAAAAATGTGATTTCTCAGTACAGTGTGACCTTCAAGAGGTTTTAAACATGAACTACAGCAAAAGCCAAGACACTGATATTCTTAATCTCAAATCGGAAAATGAAAAACTTCAGTCAGTTATCAACAACTTAAAGGACAGACTCTCAGAAAATAAAACATCTAATAGTGACCAAAATGCTAAAATCTTAATACTTGAAGAGGAAATGTCAAAACTAAAAATTACAAATCAGTCCTTAAAACAAGAAAATAAAGCATTGCGTGAAAAGGCCTCTGCAAAACAAATAGAACAAGACTGTATCAACACACTCCAGACAGACGTATTATCAATAAAAGAACAATTCGAGGAACTTGCAAGCTCACTTGACCTTGTGAAAAACAGAATAGAGAATGCGCCATCAAAAACAGACATGAACTCACTCCAGCATGAAATCCATCTTCTAAGGAAAGAACTTGTCAATGATGGTGGTACTCAAAATGAAATATCAACAACAGTCCAGACTGCGAACCAAAACACAAAAGACTTTGTCACATCATCAAATAATACAAAGTCATTATCACCATCAAAGCCGTGCCAAAAACCAGTTGACACAGAAAAAAATTCATCTACACCTGGAAGAAGCACAAATCCAACAACAAAGAAATATGAGGTACTCATCCTTGGGGATTCAGTAACAAAGGGACTAATACGAAAGAAAATGAGCTCACAACAAGTAAATGTAAGCATAAAATCAACCAGTGAAGCCACTATTCAGGACATAAATAAGATAATAACTCACAATAAAACACAGACAAAAGAAGCTGATATAATCGTCCTACACACAGGCATTAAAAACATCTCAAATGCGAACTCACCTCAGTCCATATGTGAAGATTTTACTAATCTAGTTACTTCCATACAATCAGCAAACCAAAATGTGAAAATAGCTGTATCATCCATTCTTCCAAAAAGGAGAGATTTATTATCAAAAAAAAATATTGATGAAGCAAATAGTTTGCTAGAAAAGCTTTGCAAGAACAAAGGATTCCTCTTCCTAGATAATAGTAGCGCATTCATGAAATATGATAAGGTAAATCAGAATCTCTACTATGATGAAGTACAGCTAAATAAAGAAGGTTCAGCTATATTGGGAAGGCAAATTAATGCAGGCATTAGAAAAATTCTTGGGATTAATAGTTACAGTTCCAGACAACAAGAAAACAATTTCTCTACAGAACGTGTAAATTTTCGGAATGCCAACATCTGGCATGGATATGCTCGGCGACATCAACATCCCCAACAAAGATTCCGAATGTATCAGGGACCCTGGGATCCCTGGCCAAGGACAACAAGGATGGGACCACACCAGTTTTACTAAATGATGATCCTGATGAACCTGTACTGAACATTACTGATCAAAACCAACAAATAACAAGAGGGCCATGATGGCCCTGAGGTCGCTCACCTGTATATAGCCCCCCCCCCCAATTCTTACCCAAGGGCTTTTATTTGTTTATTTGAACAAACTTGGTAGATACCCATAAGAAGATGTTTCATGATAAACATCTAAGTTCTAGCTCATTGGGTTTTTTAAAAAAGATTTTTTAAGTTTTACTATACACATATAGTTAAAAACAATGACACCCCTGGGGCAGGGCCAGTTTTGACCCCCAGGCTTTTATTTGAAAAACCTTTGTAGATATTTACTTAAAGATGTTTTATGCTTAATATCTAAACTCTAGCTATTTGGGTTTTTTCAAAGAAGATTTTTAAGTTTCTGCTATACACATATAAGGAAAATCAATGACCCCCTGGGCGGGCCAGTTTTGACCCCAGGGCTTTTATTTGAACATATTTGGTAGACACCCATTAGAACATGTTTCATGCTAAATATCTTAGCACTAGCTCTTTGGGTTCTTTAAAAGAAGATTTTTTTAAGTTTTTACTATATGCATATAGGGAAAATCAATGACCCCCTGGGGCGGGGCCAATTTTGACCTAAGGGCTTTTATTTCAACAAACTTGATAGACATTCACTAGAAGATGTTTCATGCTTAATATCTAAGCTCTAGCTCTTAAGGTTCTTTAAAAGGAGATTTTATAAGTTTTTACTATATGCATATAAGGCATATCAATGACCCCCTGGGGCGGGGCCAATTTTGACCCCAGGGCTTTTATTTGAACAAACTTGGTAGACATTCACTAGAAGATGTTTCATGCCAAATATCTAAGCTCTAGCTCTTACAGTTCTTTAAAAGAAGATTTTTAAGTTTTTACTATATGCATATAGGGAAAATCAATGACCCCCCGGGACGGGGCCAATTTTGACCCCAGGGCTTTTATTTGAACAAACTTGGTAGACACTCACTAGAAGATGTTTCATGCCAAATATCTTAGCTCTAGCTCTTACAGTTCTTTAAAAGAAGATTTTTTAAGTTTTTACTATATGCATATAGGGAAAATCAATGACCCCCTGGGGCGGGGCCAATTTTGACCCCAGGGTTTTTATTTGAACAAACTTGGTAGACATTCACTAGAAGATGTTTCATGCCAAATATCTAAGCTCTAGCTCTTACAGTTCTTTAAAAGAAGATTTTTTAAGTTTTTACTATATGCATATAGGGAAAATCAATGACCCCCCGGGGCGGGGCCAATTTTGACCCCAGGGCTTTTATTTGAACAAACTTGGTAGACACTCACTAGAAGATGTTTCATGCCAAATATCTTACCTCTAGCTCTTTGGGTTCTTTAAAAGAAGATTTTTTAAGTTTTTACTATATGCATATAGGGAAAATCAATGACCCCCTGGGGAGGGGCCAATTTTGACCCCAGGGCTTTTATTTGAACAAACTTGGTAGACACTCATTAGAAGATGTTTCATGCCAAATATCTAAGCTCTAGCTCTTATGGTTGTTTAAAAGAAGATATTTAAAGATTTTTCTTTCGGTTGCCATGGCAACCAGAGTTCTGTATGGAATTAAATTCTTTGAACAATTTTTAAAGGTGACCACCAAAGGAACATTCCTGTGAAGTTTGGATGAAATTGGCTAAGTGGTTTATGAGGAGATGTCATTTAAAGCAAAAGTTTACGGACGGACGGACGACGGACGGACGGACGCCAGACGAAAAGCGATCACAAAAGCTCACCCTGTCACTTTGTGACAGGTGAGCTAAAAAACCATATTAAACAAATTTCTGAAAATCTAAATTCTATGGAATATGATGAAAGAACAGATTTGCCTCATCAAACTTTGAGTGAAATAACATTCGACAAAAAAGGAATTAACTTTTTTCATTTAAACATTCACTACCTGTACCCTAAACTAGATGATATCAAATATTTAGTTGACAAATATCCGGACATTGACATATTAGGTCTACAAGAAACTTTCCTAAGTGATGTTTTTGCTGACTCAGAAATATCTTTAAACAATTATCAACTCTTTAGACGTGACAGAAAATCAAATGGTGGTGGACTTGTTTTGTATGTTAAAAATTCATTACCATGTGAACTAAGATCTGATTTACAATCTGAAAATATTGAATCAATTTGGCTCGAAATGAAACTTGAAAAGCAAAAACCTTTTTTGGTAGGTTACATTTATAGGCCACCTTCATCATTAACTTCATGGAATGATAACATTGAAGAAATCCTTGAAAAAATATTTGTTGAAACAAAAAGAAATAATTCTTTTGGCGATTTTAACTTTAATTTTGGAACTACAGGTTTAAATAACTCAGCATGGAATAATATTATAAATACATTTAATCTGTCACAACTTATAACACAGCCTACAAGAGTTACATCAACATCATCAACTATTATTGATCATGTCTATAGTAATCAATCACAAAATATATCATACATTACTGTCCCTATACTTTCTATTAGTGACCACTTTCCAATAATTTTCACAAAACGAACTATGAAAAATGTTAAAAAAGGTCCTATGCATCTTACAATCAAATACAGGTACTTAAAGAACTTCAATGCTGATAAATTTCTAGATGATCTGTCAAAACAACCGTGGTCCCTTATTGATATGTTTAATGATCCAGATGACGCTTTAGACACCTTTAACAAATTATTTTTAGAAACTCTTAATATACATGCTCCTTACAAACAAAAAAGAGTAAAGCATAAAAATCAAGCTGACTGGTTCAATGAGGATATAGCAAATGCAATACATAACAGGGACTATGCAAAAAAGAAAAATAATGTTGATAACTTCAAATATTGGAAATTAAAAGTGAAAAATCTCATTCATACAGCAAAAAAAGATTTCTTTAATTATGAGATAAACTCAAATAAGAAAGATTCAAAAAAACTGTGGAAAAACTTGAAAAACGTATCAGACAAAACAAATGTTCGACAAAATTCTTACATAAATGATCAGAATGGTTTACCGATAACTGATCCAAAATTAACAGCAGAAACCTTTAATACTTTCTTTGCAAGCGTATTTGAAAAAGCTGAAAATGTATCAGAAGGATTGTCACATGAACTGAAAACTGCTTTACAAGAATCGGTTAAATCCAAAATTCCAAATCAGTCAAATCAATTTGAAATCCCCTTTGTTGACTTGAGCTATGTAAATCAGAAACTGAATAGTCTTGATGTCACAAAAGCAACAGGCCTAGATGGCATTGGTGCAAAATTCCTAAAAACAGCAGCTAATGTCATAAGTAAACCTCTTTGTAGTATTATAAATTTAAGCATAAAAAGTGGAAAATTTCCAACTCAGCTAAAACAGTCAAAGGTAACACCAATTTACAAAAAAGGAACAAAGGTAGACAAAAATAATTATAGACCAATTTCAGTACTTCCTCTTATATCTAAAATAATTGAAAAACATGTATCAGACCACTTTAAGCTCTATTTAGAAACAAACAATTTACTTTACACTGCTCAATCAGGTTTCAGGGCACATCATTCATGTGAGACAGCTCTTACAAATATAATTGATAATTGGATCAGTGCTCTGAATGATGGCAAACTTGTCGGAACTGTTTTTCTAGACTCATCAAAAGCCTTTGATTTAGTGAACCACCAAATTCTTCTAGAAAAACTACCTTTCTATAATTTCTCTTCACATGCTATTAATTGGATAAGATCTTATCTATCAGACAGGTCACAAAAAGTCAATGTGTCTGGTGTTTTATCTGAACCAGCTGAAGTCGTCTCAGGAGTGCCTCAGGGCTCAGTCCTTGGGCCCCTACTATTTTTGATATACATCAATGACATCCATCTTCATGTTAAAAAGTCAACTACTGATATGTTCGCAGACGACACTTCTCTAACTTCTACGGGAAGTACTTTAAAGGAAATGAATGATAATCTTCAAACAGATCTTGATAGTGTTAGCACATGGTGTAGGCAAAATGCAATGATATTAAATGCACAAAAAACTAAGGCCATAAATTTCTCTATAAAAAATACTAAATAAAAAAATACCGATTCATCTACTCTGCACCTTCACAACAAAGAGATAGAATTTACAGACACTGAAAAACTTCTAGGAGTCCATGTTGACAAAAATCTTAAATGGAAAACACAAATTCAAAATACTATTAAAAAATGCAATTCACAGCTCTATTTGCTTCTCAGAATCAAACAGTACCTTGATCTCCACTCAAGAAAACTCTTTTTTAATGCTTATATTCTGCCACATATTGACTACTGTTGCACTATTTGGGGAAACTGCAGTAGTGAATTATTTACTTTCACAAATTGTCAACTTTCAAAAAAGAGCTGCAAGAATTATTTTAGACAAAAGTTTTGATACCCCATCAAATGTTTTATTCAAAGAATTAAACTGGATGTCTTTTGACAAAAGAATTATGTATAAAAAGGCAATCCTCATGTATAAATCTATAAATGAACCATCTTTTCCTGTTTATATGAAAAATAAATTCCAAACAGTAAATGACAAACATGACTTTAACTTAAAATCTATACAGAATGGAAAACTAACTGTACCTAAGCCAAAAACAGAATTTTTTAGAAAATCATTTAATTACTCTGGTCCTGTGGTATGGAACAACATACCAATACATGTTCGAAATTCTGATACCCTGAGGAAATTTCAAGCCTCCTATATCCAATGGCAATTTTCTAACTAATTGATTGTACATATTGTTTTCCAGAAACAATAATTTAATGTTTAAAATAAAAAGTATAATAAAAACTGTTATTAGAACAGCCCTATAAATGTCTAATTTCTTCAACATTGATCTACTTTTTTGTACTTTCATGCTGAAGTTATGAAAAATGTCACTTCTTATAATGTAAGAAGAAAAAAATGTTTACTTATTTATTGTATTGATATGATGTTTATAATGTACATATTTTGTTGTCTAAATGTTGATTGTGATTGTATTTTATATTGTTTTGTATATACTGAGGCCCGCATGGAAGATCGGGAAACTGAATGTGTTAGCCTCATTAAATAAAGTCGTTACTTACTTACTTACTTACTTACTATTGCCTGTTTGCTACTTCATTTAGGGTTGCTTTTTTTGTGGCATTCAGGGTGGATTTTCTAGTTTTCTCTTGTGACAGGTCATGGATATGTCAGAAGACGAACTGAAGTTACTAGCTGATCATATGGGACACTCGATTTCTATTCACACTTAAGTATACAGACTACAGACGTCCATTCTTGAAAGAACAAAAGTTGCAAGGGCTCTCTTTGCCCTAGAAGATGGAAACTTGAGAAACTTTAGAGGAAGAGCTTTATCTTCAATTCCAATTGAAGGTATCTTTCTTTATGCATAACATACAATTACAATTTTTATACGCCTGTCGAATGTGAAGGAAGAACTACTGCTTATCGTGTCACTCTCGAGTCCGTTCCTGGAACCACCCAGTACTGAGCAATGAGGATTAAGTTTCTTGCTCAGGAAAATAACCAAGTTCCTTGACTGGGTTTCGAACCACAATCGCTAGATTACTAGTCAAACGTGCAAACCACTCAACCACTCCACTCCTCCCAATTATTATTTTGAACTGTAACTCAAGTTAAGTCTGCACCAGTGAATAGAATAAGTTATATATAATAGTATATTACTTGTTTGTAATTGTAGAGTTTGACTCGTTTTATAATAGGGGCCCCATATTTTACTAAATGACCCCCTACTTCAAAGTCTGTGGGCCAGTTTGGCCCCCATTTAGCAAATTCTAGATTGAACACTGCTCTTGCATATTCAAGGATTTACCTAAATGTCATTTCAATAAAATTTGAGTGTGTCATTATTTAATTGGACAAATGATTGAGTTGAAAATGTTCAGATAAGTCATCAAGTTATACGAGTGTGCAAGCATTGCTTTTGTTATGAAGGTATTTCAGTATTAATACCTGATTTTTGCCTTCAATGATCATCTTTTGTGTTTACTGGCTTACACATAATAGTATAGTAATTGTCTTATTATAGACCTTGTTTGCTGTGGAAGTGAACCAATAAAATATGAATGATACTTATTTCTTCAGAATTGCCAGAACCAGAGCAACAAGATGAAAATGTGGATGTAATTGAAGATGAAGTAGTAGATGCAGACAGCTCAGTTGGAAATGTTATGGATTATGGAGAAATAGATGCTTATGATTCTGACTCTGAACCTGCAAAATATGACAATGTGAAGAAGACTTCATCTAGAGGTAAACATTTGATAACTTTAAGTTATATGGTTTTCAACTTGGCAAAGTTCCCTATTTTTTATGCCGCCCTTCGGCGGCATATAGTTTCCGCACTGTCCGTCTGTCCTTCCATCCGAACATGTCTTGTCAACGATTCCCATCCAAAACTGCAGGAGGGATTTCATTGAAACTTCACAGGATTGTTTGTCTAAGCCTAGTTGTGCATAGTAACTTATTTTCTGGCTGGAATTTTTCATTGCAAAGATATGCCCCACAACTGTAAATTTCATGTAAAATAATCTTGTCCGTGCTTCATCTCCTAAACCACTGGAGGGATTTTATGACACTTCACAGAATTGTTTGTTAACATGCCTAGTTGTCCATGGAATTTCTTTCCTGATGAAAATTTTTCATTGCAAGATTATGCCACCTTCGCAGTCAATTTTTTTAGTAAAATAAGCTTGTCTGTGCTTCATCTCTAAAACCTCTGCATTGGATTTCACTGAAACTTCAGATGGTTATGGAGCAGAATTTGGGTCAAAAATCAAAATGGCTCATTGCCAAAATTATATGTTTATTTCATAATTAATTCTTATCAATATCATTTATGCCAATTCTCAATGTTGCAAACGGTAATGTACAAAGCCGAAATATTCCAATTGCAAACTTTTAACTGGTTCATGGCTTTTAACTAAGCCACGAAACGCTATGTGCCTTTCAGTAATTTTCCAAAGCTTATAAATGTAAAGAATGGTAATGACTTTAACGCATTCATGCCTCGTTTTATGCGTTAAATGAAGAAACTACCATTTCTAATCTGGTATAGTCTTCATACCGATGCTCCTTATCGGAAAAATCAATACTGAACTTTATAAACTACAATGTGCCAAACTGCAATTCGCTTACTGTATTTCGATTCCGAAACTGAACGAGTGCTAGCTCTACGACATAAATATTTTATTGTTATTTATGATTGTTTATCACATGTTTTAAGGAAACATTTTGATTTTGTATTATTCACATACATTTATATGCTACTATTTGAGTTTATTTCGTGCTTCGGAAATTAAAAGCGACAATACGAGTTATGTCCCTTATTTAGGAAATCGCCATTTACAGTCAGGTCAGTCAGAGGTTAAGGTCACCTTAGATGGTGCAGTGTTGGATATAAAAAGGAGATTTGAATTAAGACCAGCGGGATCAACATTTGGGCGGTATATTATGGTCTATTAACCTTCATTGCCAAAGAGTATAAAATTAATTTAGTGTTCAATTATAGTTAACTGCCAATTTCTCTATAAATCCACTTTATTTATAGAAACCCCACATTTTGTTGTATTTAAGTCTTCTATAGCAGCCCAATAGTGAAGCATGTCTGTTTCTGGAGAACCTGAAATTTGTGATTACATTAGGTGGCACTGGTAGTGTGTCTGTGTATGGCAGTGGTAGTGGAAAGGATGTAAAATTTAGATATTGTAAATCACCACTATGAATCATACTAAACGTATTTGTGATATTTCTTATTTCATCTACTGATGAATAACTGTAACATGTTGTTCTTTAATGTCTGATTCATTTTGAATTGATTTTGAAAATACTTTTCCAGAATAATAACCTGCTGACATTTTGTCCGAGAAATTTCTTTTAATAAAACTTGCTGCAAAACCAGGGTAAAGGTTAATATCTGTTCCAAACAATGTAGGTTTTCCAAGAAAGTGCACTTTCATAATCCTCTATAGTTAGGTTTTTAATATTTATCTCATTAGATTTGTAATACAGTTATGTTTTTCTATATTTAGGTACAAAGAAACGATGGTCAGCTGAAGAGGAAGACTGTCTTAATAAAGCCTTTGGGATACATATCCAAAACAAAAAAAATGTCTCTTCGTTTGAAATAAGAAAAGCACAAAAGCAGTACCCCATTTTACTGCAAAGGTCTGAAGCAGTCATACGCTCAAAAATCAACAAGACTGTGTTAGGAAAGTTAAAGAAACATTAAAATACGATGTGTAGATTGAAAATTATGTTATGAAAATAATATTAAAAAGAACTAACAAAGATGTTTGAAGCTGTGTGTAAAAATGACATTGAGTTTCATAAATTATATTGAATGTCATACATTACATTGATAAGTTGCACTCAGAGTCATTAGTTACCTTGAAAAGTGACATTCTTTATCAATGGTGACTTTAATAAGTTACATTGTGTTAAGTTTACTTGATGAGTTACATTAAGTGTCATATGTTACCTTGAAAGGTTACATTAAGTTTCATAAGTTACATTGATGGGTGACATTAAGTTTCATTTTTAAGTGGGTTAGTTACTTTAAGTGTCATTAGTTACATTGAAAAGTTGCATCGTCATTTGTGATTTGATAAGTTACATGAAGTGTCGAGTTTAATTGATGAGTTACATCAAATGTCATTTGTTACCTTGGAAAGTTGCATTAAATGTCATTTGGTTGTATTAAGTGTTATTTGTTACCTTGAAAAGTTGCATAAAGTGTAATTTGTTACTTTGTTAAGTTACTCATTTTTATGCCTCCGAAACTGGGGCATATTAAAATCGCACCGTCTGTCTGTCCGTCCGCTCTTAGGGGAGAGACATTGTGGGGTATTTCTTAAGTCTATATGGTATTTATGGGGTTAAAATCACATGTGGGGTCGACCCCACATGCTGATTGAGATTGATCGTTATTTTTGTCGTTCTGGGGTCTAGAAAAAAGACCCCACAAATTAAAACCTATTGTTGGTTGGACTCGGAGTACGGACAACACCGTAAATTCTACAAAAATTCCAAGGGAGACTAATCTTAGATGTTTTCTTATCACGTGATGCAAAACTAATCGAGTGCTTCGGCTTTTTCCATAGCCAGGGAGGTCATTTTGAGCATGCCCACTTCGCCGGCGCATGCACATGTGGAATAATGGCTGCCTTGTCAAGGTAAGAATTGCTTGTGCTGTTTTATTTTAATGTCAATATAAGTGCAACAGTTTGCAGAACTTGCCTTAAGACAGCCAACTACAGGTATATATTTGAATGTGTGATATTTTTCTTTTGCTATTTATTTTTTTGTACTTACAAAAAAAGTTAAAATGTTATTTAAAGATATGGTATGCCTTTTATAATGCATATTTTTTTGCCTGTTATTGACAGTGTGAAATCCCTGGCATTGTAAAATATGTTGAAAGTCTCTCATTCTACAGGATGTACTATGTGCAGGAAACAATTATTATTTTCTACTCTTTACTTCATCAAATACTACTTTAAATTACGAAGGGACTAAGAGTATTCGATCTGATTTTACACACTAATTATATTCCCAA